AAGCCGTATTTACCGTGGTCGTTTACGTACGCATTAATTTGTCCTGTTTTATCACTTATGTGCTCATAACGACTGCTTAATTCGTTTATTGCGTCCTCGATGTAGGGTCTGTACGTTCAGAGGTTATTACGAAAGTGATTGTTTAGTATTTGTCTGGTCTCTGCTGTTGTTTCAGTTTCGCGTAGCGATCCTATCTCCGTGTTGAACAGCTGGTGAGCAATCGCTGCAATTAGGCAGTTGCCAGTGGGGGGTATTTTTTTTACTTTTAGTGTAGTCTAATGTGTTTACAAAATCCATGGGGTTTGATTAGAGTGTTTTTTTTACTTTGTTTATGTTTTCTTAATTTATGAGTGTTATTTAGGTTCTAAGTATCAAATATTTATTTGGTCTCGATTTTGTTAGAATTGGATTGTTTTGTTGACAGCTTTATTGTCCTTCTCAGCTTTGGTGTATGGCCGAGATAAGCTAATTGGGTAGATTGTTTTTTTGGTTAGTATTGACTTTCTAATGTATTTATTGTTACCGATGTTTATTGTTTTTTTAAGGGATTAGGCAATGTGCCTTGTCTTGTTTAATTTGCAAATTATGTGTTAGGTCATGCAGATGAGCTGAGGATACTTATCAATTTTTTGCAGGTGGCCTATTCCTCCCTTGTTTGACCTCTTTTGTTTGGCCAGTGAAAATCGTCCTTTTGACAGGTGGTGCGACCGCTCAGACGCTGACACTTGTCACTTAACTCTTTCTTGTCACTTAACTTAACTCTTTTGACCGTTTTACTATGTTAGTTTGCACTTGTCACTTCACTCTTCCTTATCACTTACCACTTAACACTCATTCTTGACCGTAGAGTGGTCTGTACTCACTGTATTTGTTACACTATAATTGTTTGCACTATGAGGGATTATTTGTTGGTTATGGTTTTCACGTTTTACGTTTTAAGCTCTGACTCAGCTAATAAGCGTCCTACTCAGTCAAGTGCTGGGACGAGACTGACTTTTCATTTAACTTCCGAGATATACAAAAAATTCTTTTGTTACTGGGTCAACAAAAAGGTTTGTAAAAATACAAAATTACAAGAATTATGGTTAAAATATTGATATAGGATTTTGTTATTAAATCTACAAAATGTTATATAAGTACTTATTCAATTAGTTAACAGAAAACAGTTGGTTGTAAACTTTACATAAAGTTATGTGGACCTGGATTAACATAAAATCTAGTTAACATTTGGTTAAAATTAACAAATATTTTTTTTACTGTGTACGTAAGATAAAAATGGAGGAAGGGATCTAGCAAAATCTCACCAAGGGGTACGATTTATAAAACAAGGTTAAGTATAAGAACGGGAGCTCACATTATTTGTGTTCAACCGAATTATTGGTATATTTTGTTGCAATAAAGATATTATTATTATTATTATTATTATTATTATTATTATTATTATTATACTGAAATCTTACAGGTGCTCGCGGCTCTCTCGGTCCGGGGGCGTTTTTCGGTATTTTGCCCACCCTGCCACCCTGTAGTTATGCCACTGTTTTCGAAAATCTTTTTAAGGCGTAATGAGTAAAGATCAATAAACATACCAATTTTTCAGACGGAAATCTATCTAGAATTTCTCTTTTCAGTCTATAACTGATTGCTAAGGTAATTGGAACACCTTTAACTTTAAAGAATTGCCCCTAAACCAGGAATTTAGTACTATCACCAATCAATTGGGGTTCATGAATGGGGTTGGTTGGTTAGTTAGCTGCTTGGACCTATTCTTGCTGTTCTTGTAGTACTACCTGTTCGTTTGCGTTCATGCCTGCTAACAATTTCTGTGCTGAAAATTCGAAAACTGCTGAACGCAAATTGTTTGCCTCACTGTGCAAAACCATTTCTTCCGTCTAGGGTTGAGAACTATCGATAGATATCGATAGTTTTCGGTACTCGGCAATGTGACTACCAGATGTATTGGCGTGTTTATTGTTGTTGTCTAGGTGATTAAACTTTTGTTTATGTTATCATTTATTGCGTTTTACGGAGATTGTTTGTGTAGTTTTGGTGCTGGGTTGTAAATGTTTTGTAGCGATTTATTACTAATAATTACATTTGCTGTATTTTGGGATATCTCTTTTTCTTGCTTGGCTGTTTTGTTTTCCTAGTTTAGATGCGTTAAAGACGCTTAACCTCTTCAAGAGGGTTGGTAGAAAATGTAAGATTACTTTCTTGGTAGAGAATGCAAGTTAAATTGTGCGGATTAAAGCTATTTAACTTACCTTTTGTTGCTGCGATCGTCTCCTTGGTTTCTTTGGGAGACTGGTACATTGAATTTACCTGCACAGGTAGTGTAACTGATTTCGTACATTACTCACTTGTTAGGTGTTTGTATTGTACTGCACTACTGTATTGGCGCTTTGCTGATTTTGTAAAATTTCGGGAAACAGGTACCGTGATTTACCTGCATAGGTAGTGGCCTTAGGCTTTAATTTCCGAACTCTTTAGAAGCGATCGTGTGCGCGTGTCTCACTCTCAAGTCTTAGTACATCTTGTACTTAAACATGCTTTAAACACAAATTCATTCATTGATTCAAAATATAGTTTAAGCTAATTCTGAGAAATTTGACATGGAAGTAATATTCCAACAAGATAGAGCGTCCGCACATTATTTTTGGGATGTTATATTGTCTATAGACAATGACTGGATGAGATTTATCCAAATAGGTGGATTGGTGGTCCTACTGAATGGCCTGCTAGGTCCCCTAATTTAACGTCACTTGTGCGGATTATACGTAAATGTGCGAATATTACACAAGAAACGTTTGCAAATGTGAGAACTGAAATTATAAACACTATTTTTGTGTCAAAATGTCCAAGCGGAGCATTTCTAACATCTAATTTGATGACTAATTGGAAATATATTTTACTTAATAAATTAAAACCTTTTACTTACTTAATGAATAAAAATATAAATTTGGTTTGATAATTAATTTTATTTAAATGTTTAATATTTGGCAACCATTGTACAAATACCTTTCAAATGAAGTATCACAAGCCCCCCTTTCCGTTTGAAATGTTTAAGTTAATACTGCACTCTTGGCACTTCTTAAATAAATACAAAAAACAGTATATACTTAATCTCATTGATAATGGTTTTGTCCAATATCGATACCTTTTTTCGTTCAAAAGATAACAGAAGGGGCCCCCGACTTTTAACGTGCGTATAATTAATTTTAAATAAGATGCACAAATTAAATAGTAAAAGATATAATACCAAAATAAAATAGTGATTTTAAATATGTTAAAGCCAACTAGGCTTGCCAGTCGTACCCCTTTTTGAGGTACAATATCCCTTTTTTGTATAGAATTTTAAAAATCCAAAAGGGGGTACCAAAAATACCTCTTTTTAGACGGGTGTATTTTTACATAAAACTTAATTTTGAACGGGCAAGGGTCATTCGGCACTCGGCACTTTATCTTATATTAAATTATCATTTCTAACCCAAATTTACCGCTTTTTACATCTCCTGTCTACCGCCTTTATTACTGCTGGGAGCGATGCGCATCATGACTGCGCATTACGTTTATACGTAATGCGCAGTCATGATGCTATAAGTTTTGGATAGGCGTGGACAGGTCGATGTGATCTACACTGATTTATCGAAAGCATTTGATAACATTAGTCATTCTATTTTAATACAGAAACTTAATGGTTTAAACTTAACAATTTCCTTATGGTGCACGAAAAATTCATTAAAACTCAATGTTGAGAAATGTGTCGTGGTCACATAAACCAGAAAAGAGGTTCCTTACTTAAACCAGTATAAGATCGTCAACACTGAATTAAGAAGACAGAATGAGGTAACTGACTTGGGCGTCTTGTTTGATCAAACACTTTCTTTTGTACCACATATAAACAATGTTTGTTCAGCAGCCGGAAGGTCATTGGGATTTGTTATTCGATCCACAAGAGATTTTGTAAATGTTTCCTTAATAAGGTCTCTTTATATGCCATTTGTAGCAAGCAAGCTGGAGTATGCAAGTTTGATCTGGTACCCAATATACACATGCCATCGCATAAATATTTATAGAGTTCAAAGAAGATTCTTAAAATACATGTATCTCTTAATTTATGGAACGTACCCAGAACAAAATGCTAACCTGGACAGTATTATGAGTGAATACAAAATAATGCACTTAGACACAAGGCGAGATTTGCAAAGTGCACGTTTTTTAACGAAATTGGTAAGGGGTACAGTTGACTGCGAATACTTACTATCGAAGATTCAGTTTCATGTTCCGAGGAACAACTCAAGAACTTCTGTCTCCTTTCAAATTCCCACTGCCAGAACAAATATTTTATCAAAAGCACCAATAACAACCATGTGCAAAAATGGAAATGAGCTATTAGTTGATATATTTAAATAATAAGGATATTGTTTTTTTTATTATTTTATTTCTTAAGTTTTTGTATTGTATGTTCGATATATTTGTTTTAAATATGTGTTATATATATTTGATATATTTGTTATATATATTTATACCATTGTCCTGTAATTGGGAGAATCCTGTTGGGCAATAAAGATTATTATTATTATTATTATTATTATACGAGTTTACGTAGAGCACAGCAGTTCGACTATTCTAAGTAATTTTAATTTCTTAATTTAGTTTGGTGTCTTTAATTTTTATTTTTACTTAATAACTTAAGTGTACAGTAGGGTGGGCCACTTCTGTATGGCGAAAAATGTTTTTCCGGATTTTTACCGGGCACAGCAAGAAAAGGGTGCTAAATGACGTCTCTATATCACATATAAAATTTGGTGCCAATCTAATTTCATCTTTTGGCTCCGGATCGGCCTTGAAAATTGATAATATTGAAAAAAAAATGTTTTTGTTAAAACGCAACAATAAGGTTAAAAAAGTTTAAAAAGCACTATTTACAAAATAAAACGCAATTTTATCAAATATATTTGTTTATTAATACAAAAAGATAGAAAGAATAATATTACATAACATTAAGCAACGAAATCTTTCTTACTGTCGATTTTCGGCATAACTGTTCGAGACTCTATCTCTGCTTTTATAAATCCTTCTCTATCAGATTTACTACACAAAGTACCTGAAGCTTCTGTTACAGTCTTGGCGTAGGAAAGATATTTCACTTTCTCCTTTTTGTTCGATAAATAATTGAATATCTTCATCAGGTACACCTTTTAATATTGGTGGTTCAGTAATATTGTCCCGCCAGTTGATAAGGTCGATGTAAGATGATGCATCAAAGTTTATTTTTGGAAGTTGGAACAGTCTAATCCTATTTGTTGTTATGGTGCGGGCTTTTTAAATACGACGGGCAGCCAATTCTCGAATGTGCTTTTGGGGATCAGTCAACATTGCCAGTAACAAATTCTCGGAATGAGCAAAATAACTGTTTCTTTTAATCACAATATCAACTTTGGCTTTGAGTTCAGTAGGTAAGTATCTAGATTCAGAGATTAGCTTCCACAGGTGTCGTGCTCCATCTTTACAAGTAGGATGAGTTTTGATGGAAAACCAAGTCAAAGCGTAAACCTTGACAATATAGGTTGCCAGAATAATTAGGTTTTCAGAAGGAACTTCCATTGACACATAAAGTTTCTTAAATCTTCAGGAAATATGCCTGTTATTACCGCAGATACTATTTTGTATAAATACTTTTGGTCTGTACTAAGATCTTTAGCGGTTACCTCGGGTAACTCTGCGGGGATAGGTCGAAATTGAATAACGGGCCTTGTTTCACATTTTTCCAGCATTTTGCCAATTGGTCCTGAAAACGTCTGGGGTCCCGATGTTGTGCCATCAACTTCTATGAACAAATGTCGCAGAGGCAATTCTTTCATGTGCAACAAGCAGATTATCCATTGTAATGGCCTATTCAATCTTTGTTCTAGCAAACGTATAATTCCTCCTTTTTTCCCGACGTTTACGTTCGTTCCGTCACACCCAACTGCCAATAAAGATTCCATAGGTATACTCGATTCCAAAAAGAAATCGTTAATTGTTTGTTCTATGGATTTAGAAGTTTCCGAATTTGGTGCGATATACCCCAAGAACTTGGATTCCGGTTCTTTTATCAAAGAAATATGTTCTTCTAGGATACTCTGTCTGTAATATTGTCCGTCTTTTTCCGTCAAAGTTAAAGTTTTGTCTTTTCGACCGTCGAAGTATAAAGCAGGTACATGTAAAATTTTATTCTGTTCCACAATATTTTCTCTTGTTTTCTTACGCTTCCGGCGAAGCTTATTTTTATCAATAACCCCTACATTGGTGGAATGCAGAACCGCTGAGGCGATGGCTGCCCCTGCCCTGTCTGACACTCCAAATCTATCGCATTTTTTTGATAGTAAAGTGTAATCGATTGTAACGGCAGGCAATTGTGGTTGGGGCACGTCATCACGATCGGATTCACTGGATGTGAAAGAAGTTGAAATATTGGGCTCCTCTTTACTTTCTTTTTGAGGCTTACACAGGGATTTTTGCCTTAACAGCTTCCTTTTCAAAGTATTCCTCATTTGATTCGTTGCATCTATATCTACTGTTCCCATAACCATTTTTCTAGCAGTACGTTGGTCGATTAAAAAGCTCTGTTTCCTTACAGGTATTTTTTTCTCTCTAGGACAAGTACAATTATTCATTTCCTTACACTTGCAAGACGAAATATCAAACAGTGCTTTACTACTACGACGAAACTCTTTGTTTTCTGGTATTTTAGGGTTGGATTTGAGCAGATTCTTACATTTTAAATGATATGTCTGTAACATTGCCTTTACTCGTTTGCGTTGGACTATAGGAATTGAAGCTTTTGCCCATATTTCTTTAATCCTTGCTACCACAACAGTCTCTAACTCTTTATATGATGGTTCTTTTTTAGTTTCCTTATCATTTTTTATTTTGTGTCGGTTCCACTCGTAAAACTTTATAACTTCTTCGTAGGTTGGCAACATCACCAAACAAGGGACATTTCCAAGCGTTACGAGTACGTTCCATGTTTCAAACGCGCAAACGAACACAATATAACCTTTCCTCTAATTAGCCGCAGCGGTACTGATTGCCGGGTGTCGCGCAAAGCGTAATTGGCGCCTCCCACCCCAGCACAAACTTTTTGTTGTAAAATATAGAAATAAAAATGTCTTTATTAGCACAAAAAAATATCATTATTTTTCGATCTTTGGCGGAAATCCGGAGGCAATTAGACTCATAATCAAATGATGTTTCACATACTTCATTTCGACAACATTTAGCACCCTTTTATCGCTGTGCCCATTAAGAAATCAACACATCAAAAAATCGACCCACCCTAGTGTCCAGTGCAATTGCTCTTAAGTAAGTTTAGTTGAAATGTTTTGTATTTATAAACAAAATCGCTTCGTTTTAATTACTATAGATTGCACAACTGCACAATAATATTATGACATATTATGTCATCATCAGAAACTGACTATAACACTGGTGATGAAAAATCACAAGAATTTCAACCAAAAAAAATAAAGACGAAATCATTTTAATGACGACTGGTCCAAAACGTTTGTAAAAGGCAAAGAAGCCGGATTCTCAAAATGTTGTATATGTCACTCTAACTTCTCCATAGCTAACGGAGGAGTTTTTGATGTAAAAAAACATATGCATTCCAACAAACATAAGAAACAACTGGAACTCTCGGTAAAAACATCAAATATTTCTTCATATTTTAAAGGACCTTTAACATCAGGTACATTAACAGATTTAAATAAAAAGATAACTGCTGCTGAGTGTTCCTTTGTATACCACACAGTGCAACATGCTCATAGTTATAATTCAGCAAACTGTAGCAGCTCATTTTATCCTACAATATTTTCCGACTCAAAAATTGGTCAGTCTTTCTCAGTCTTTGTGGTAGAACCAAATTGTCAAAAATAGTTAGATCTTCGAGAAAACCATCCATTTTCTTTAGCAACTGACGCCTCAAATAAAGGAAATATTAAAATGTTTCCTCTGGTTGTTCGCTTTTTAAAAAAAAAATACAGTTCAAACAAAACTTCTGAAACTGCAGAACATACCTATAGCCAAATTTCTAATCGAAAAAATAGAAAAAGTGCACATGGGCTTAAATATTAAAAACATAATAAGTTTTTGCGCGGATAACGCCAATGTAAATTTTGGAAAAAACACAGCGTTTTTACGGAATTGAAAAAAAATAATCCCGACATTTTGCTAAACAACTCAATAAAAAATGCCTCCAATTGCTTGAAATTTGACCTAGAATGCATTATTCTAAAAACATTTAATACATTTAGTTCACATACTAAAAGAAAGCATGAACTTTTAAATTTTTACAAGTTTTGTGATGTACAATATTCAGAGTTGCTGAGGCACGTTAGTACTAGATGGCTTTCTCTTGTTCCAGCTATAGACTGTTCAAAAATTTTGAGCCTGTTAAAAGATATTTCTTATCATTAGATACTTGTCCACCACTTCGAGAATTTTTTAATAATAAGTTAGTTTTCCAATATCGGATCTTTAATTCAAAATGTTATTTTAAAACTTGAAAATAATGGACCTGTAATAATAGAACTATATGACCTAATGCTTGATTTGCAAAATTCTTTAAGATTAAAACTTTCCGAAAAATACTATGGAATGATTGCGCAGCAAGCAATTCTAAAATGCCACAATCAAAATGAAATTGACCTCTTAAAAAGGCGAGTCAATGCTTTTTTAGGAAAAATTGTTGAATACATTGATAAAAGATTTCAATTTAAAAATAATAAATATGAAGTTATAAGAGTTTTTCAATTAAAAAATCTTTTGAACAACTCACTACTGTATTGGATAAATTCAATATTACTGGCGTAAATTGTGACTTACTTTTTGAAGAATTTGTTTTTCTTAAAACGGCATTTCTTTCCTTGGAAAAAAATCCGTCATATGAGCAAAAATGGACAACTTTTTTAAACTCATTTGAGATTCCCAACATGGAAAAAATTATTAATTTTGTTTTTGCACTTCCACATTCAAATGCTATGAGCGAAAGAATGTTTAGCTTAATATTTCATGCATGGCGAAATAATAGAAGTTACTTATCACTAAAAACTATAGAGGCCGAAATTATGGGAAAACCTGCAAAGAATTTCATAAATATGTTTTGGAAAATGAGAAATTGTTAAAAGCAACAAGTTCAAGTGAAAAGTATAACAATTGAAATTGAATTAAGTGCCCGAGTTGTTTTTTTATTATTAATTCTTAATATAAGCGTTTATCCTCTTATCTGTTTAATCATTAACACATTAAACTAAGTTATTAGTAATTAAAGTTTCTGTTAAAATTCAAAATATTTATTATTAGATATTTATACCTGTAAGGTTTAAAGCACGATTCATAAACTTTCAGCTGCCGCTGGAGGTTGGCGTTAAAGGTTAAATCATTGAAAATACACGCTTTTATTCATAAAGCCAACCGCCATCGTCAACCGAAAGTTTATGAATCATACGTTAATGAAATGGTATTTTTGCAAAAAATATAAAAATTATTGTTAGTTTTAACATCATCAGTATTCAATTTAAATCCTAATTGGAGTCACCTTTCAAATACCCCTTTTTCGAAATTAATATTTGGCAAGCCTAACGCCAACACATGTAACGCCGGAATGAATCAAAGTGCTGTCGATCGCCTTTACACAGATAACCACACGCGCTAAATTTTATTGTTTGCCGACTCTCAAACCATAATAGAACTTAATATGACAGTTTACTTTTGGAGGCGACTGTACCTTCAAATGTAAAGATCGACTTGCAATTGAATTCTGAACAACTTTTCTTTTATGTTTCTGTGAGTCTGTGAATCGTTTTTTCTCGGTCCCGTCTAATTTTTTCCGTTTGGTTTGGTGGTAATGACCTTAAGGGTTGAGTACCTCTTTTTACACATAATAAGCATTTTTTTTATATAAATTCAGTTTTATGCCATTTGTGAAATAGGTAGTATGTAGTATGTTTTGTACATTTAATATTATAACTTAGTCACAAATAGCGTAATCGTTTAATACAGGGACTTGTACCGCGTTAATGTTACGGTATTGTTCTTCATGTAAGAATCGAAACGAAACTGTATAAGAGGCGCCACAAAAAATGATAACGAAACTCTGAGAAACGATACTTATTACTAATATAATATAATTATATTATATATTATTATAGGTTATTAGTACCAAAACGAGTAAGAAAATCTTCGTAACGGTTTCAGCGGAAACAAAATTGCTATCGAAACTATACTACAGAAACACAGGATATTGAAACGAAACTAGTAACAGTGACTAAGTAACGAAACTGTAACAAAAAGTTAAATTTTCAAAATGCTTAACAACACAATGTTTTGGTAAAAATCCCCGTGATCTGTTTAGCAGCTGTCATGCTGTCAAGTATATTGACATTGTACTTTATCTATTCCTACATATACGATCTGTGACTTAGTGGAGTTTTAGTCACGTTAGCCACTATAATCAGTGGTTATTGGCCAATCCGACCAATGAGGCAGATTAAATATAAGGTATAATAACCACTAATTCTAGTGGCTAACGTTAACCACTGTTAGTGAATTGGCCTGAATGTCAGTCAAAATAAAACGCCAAATCTTGTTTTGTCTATTTTAATTCTAATACATCGTTGACATACAAATTAAAAAGGTTGCCAACAGTCTGAAATAAACAAAAATCCCTTATTTGAGCGCTTCTAAGAAGCTTTTAGTAGCACTAAAGTCTGTGATACTGAGTATCACAATAAGTCATTGTAACACGAGTTTTGTTGTCTCTTTTGACTTTAATTTATCATTAAAATAAAAAAATCGTAAAAAAACAAGTAGTTTAATTTACGTTACTTGGTTGGCACAATTAAGGTTGTAACGGGGTTTTTGTTTTGCGTTTGCTATACTTTTATTTCTTATTCCTTGGTTGGCCTATGGGAGCTCGTGGGTATAGGGTACCCGTTACAAATGACTAATCTAATCTGACCTTTAATACGGAGCAATATGTAGCGGCCTCGGTTAGATGATGTCGGATGGACGAGTCTGAGTAGAGGCCAAGTAGTCCAGATATGGATATTCACACACTGAACCCACACGCGTCGAATCACCCGGAAAACTTCACACACGATCACCGTTCACTGTATACTTACTACTCGACTTAAATTGATTCAAGGTTATTTCTTGTAAAACAGATATTTCAAACCATATTAATATATTAAGAAACAAAGAAATAACAATAAAAAATGAAAAGAAAAAAACAAGGAAAATTAAGTTACGTTAAATTAAAAATAGGTAATTAAAGTTAATCCAAAGATTTAATCAAAGAGAACTAGTTTATAAAACAGACTGGAACTGTAGATTAAGAATTTTGACTAAACGTAAACTAAAAGAAAATGTAACAATAATTAAATTAATAAAATAAATAAAATAAACTAGCAGAGTAAATCTGGTTTGAAAACAATAATTACTATAGATACCTTACACCGAATCAATTGAAGCTGGCAAATAGAGGCTATAACGGATATCTGCGGACGTTGGAAAAGCGCAATAAAATCTAGATAAGCCAACACGCGTTGGTTTTTTATAGAATATTTTAACCACCCCGCAAGGGTCATAGGAAATTGACTGGTTCAAAGGTCATAAACTCTAATACCAACCTAAAATGATGAAGGGTTATTGGCTTCATGCTAAGCGGTCAGTTCTTAAGGAAGAAGGAGTTACCCTTGACTTTACTCGGCTATTTGAAAGGCCTGGAACAAACTTAGTGGGGAGTTTACTAGGCATTGGGCGGAGTTTTTTTCACTAATACCAACTACTACTAATGATTGGATTTACTATTTTTCTATCTGGTTCTTAAACCGTATTATCTTAGTTTGATTTAATTGTGTTTACTTCATTTAAACCATACTTATGAGTTTTATCAATCTACACTTAATTTACATTGGCTGATCGA